GGCCAGCGCATGCTGAAGCTCTAAGTGCGCAGAAGTCGCCAACTGTCTGCAGAGTCAATAGCTAAAGACTTCCAAACTTTGTGTGGCTTTCAGATTAGCACAACAGTATGTAGAGAGCTTCATGGAATGGGCTTCCATGGCCGAGTAGCTACACCCGAGCCTTCTATCACCAAGTGCAATGCAAAGCGTTGGATGCAGTGGTGTAAAGCACACCATCACTGGACTCTAGAACAGTGGAGATGTGTTTTCTGAAGTGATGAATCATCCTTCTCTGTCTGTCAATCCGATGGACATGTCTGGGTTTGGTGGTTGCCTGGAGAACCGTACTTGCCTCACTGCATTGTGCCAAGTGTAAAGTTTGGTGGAGTGGGGATTATCAGGTTATTTTTCAGGGGTTGGGCTTGGCCCCTTAGTTCCAGTAAAGGGAACTCTTAAGGCGTCAGCATACCAAGACATTTTGGACAATTTGAGGATGGCCCCTTCCTGTTCAAACATGACTGTGCACCAGTGCACAAAGCAAGGTCCATAAAGATATGGATGAGCGAGTTTGGGGTGGAGGAACTTGACTGGCCTGCACAGAGTCCTGACCTCAAACAGACAGAACACCTTTTGGGATGAATTAGAGCAGAGACTGTGAGCCAGGCCTTCTTGTCTGAAATCAGTGCCTGACCTCACAAATGTGCTTCTGGAAGAATGGTCAAACATAGAGACACTCCTAAACCTTGTGGACAGCCTTCCCAGAAGAATTGAAGCTGTTTTAGTTGCAAAGAGCGGGCCAACTCAATATTGAACCCTATTGACTAAGTTCATCTGGGTGTAAAGGCAGGCATCCCAATACTTTTGGCAATATAGTGTGTGTGTGTGTGTGTATATATATATATATATATATATATATATATATACAGTTGTGTTCAAAATAATAGCAGTCAGACATCACTAACCTGATCAATCACTGTTTTTGGTAGAAATGATATTTCTACATGGCAAATAATTTACTAGCAGGTGTAGTAGAGTAATAGAAATCCAACAGACCCAACAGTCATGACATGCATGCTGCTGATTCTGTCATTGAATCACTAATTGAAAGGGGCATGTTCAAAATAATAGCAGTATGGAGTTCTATTAGTGATGTCATTCATTCTTTGAAAAACAGGTGGCAATTATTGCCGTTATTTAAGGAAGGAAGGCAGCAAATGTTGTACATGCTGGTTACAGTGCATTTCTCTCTGGAATTCTGAGGAAAATGGGTCGTTCCAGACGTTGTTCAGAAGAACAGTGTACCTTGATTAAAAAGTTGATTGGAAAGGGGAAAACATATAAAGAAGTGCAGAAAATGATCGCAAATGCTTTAAAATGGCAACCAAAACCTGAAAGATGTGGAAGAAAGCGAAAAACTACCATTCGATTGGATAGAAGAATAGCCAAAATGGCAAGGACTCAGCCAACAATCAGCTCCAGGAAGATGAAAGAAGGTCTAAAGTTACCTGTGAGTACTGTTACAATTAGAAGATGTCTATGTGAAGCCAAGCTATCTGCAAGAAGCCCCCGCAAAGTCCCACTGTTGAAAAAAAGACATGTGTTGAAGAGGTTACAATTTGCCAAAGAGCACATTGACTGGCCCAAAGAGAAATGGCGCAACATTTTGTGGACTGATGAAAGTAAGAATGTTCTTTTTGGGTCTAGTGGCCAGAGACAGTTTGTCAGATGACCCCCAAACACTGAATTCAAGCCACAGTACACTGTGAAAACAGTGAAGCATGGTTGCGCAAGCATCATGATATGGGGATGTTTCTCATACTACGGTGTTGGGCCTATTTATCGCATACCAGGGATCATGGATCAGTTTGAATACATCAGAATACTTAAAGAGGTCATGCTGCCTTATGCTGAAGAGGAAATGCCCTAGAAATGGGTGTTCCAACAAGACAATGACCCCAAACACACCAGTAAACGTGCAACATCTTGGTTCCAGACCAACAAGATTGACGTTATGGAGTGGCCAGCCCAATCCCCGGATCTTAATCCAATAGAAAACCTGTGGGGTGACATAAAAAATGCAGTTTCTGAGGCAAAACCAAGAAATAGAGAAGAACTGTGAAATGTAGTCCAATCATCCTGGGCTGGAATACCTGTTCACAGGTGCCAGAAGTTGGTTGACTCCATGCAACACAGATGTACAGCAGTTCTCAGAAACAGTGCTTATACAACTAAATATTAATTAAGTGATTCAAAGGAAAGCAAAATCTTCAAACATTATTCAGTTTATATAAATATAAATGTTTGAGTTTGTAAAGAAGAATACAAACACTGCTATTTTTTTGAACAGTCTAATATTCACTTTTTTTAGAGGAACAAGACAAATTTGATATATTTTTCTTCATGTTTTGATTTGGAATAGAATGTGTAGTGTTCCCAATGCATTTGTATGCATGGAAATAAAAGCTATTAGAAGGATTTTGAGCTTTATTCACTTTTTTTTAACACACTGCTATTATTTTGAACACAACTGTGTATATATATATATATATATATATATATATATATATATATATATATATATATATATATATTTATGGAATAATATAGAATTCCTATAACCACAGCCCTGCCCTGGTATCAGATTTACAGAGATTAATACTTGTAGTCTTCATTTATTTCAGCACTACTACTTTTACACAAAAGTTGGCATCTTGATAGATACAAACTGGGGGCTATTTACTAAAACTTGAGAGTGCAAAACCTGGTACAGTCTCTGCATTAAAATCGTTGAATCAGCTTCCAGGTTTTATTGTCAAAGTTTAATTGAACATGCTGACGTTAGAAGCGAATTGGCTACCATGCACAGTTGCACCAAAGTGCTCCAGTTTTAGTAAATCTCCCCCACTGTGACAGATGGCCACAGACTGACTGATATACCTGGGTAAACATACTACTAAAGTAAGTTTTCATACCATAAAGACAAGTCATTCCATGTCCATAGCCAAGCAAATGCTTGCAGATTTCATTTTGATCAGCTTGTTTTCTTGGTGGGAGGGGCAAAATTAAATCTAACTGTCCCAGGTAACAGGGTTAAGACTTTATAAAGTGAGTAGTCTAGTATCAGAACTTCCTGCTGATGTAAATGTAATTTGCAGATTGCATCTAGGATTTGTTCATCCATTGCTGATGACAGTATGCTAGTCTATATTATATGCTATGTTCCCCCTCTTCATTGTGCAGCAATTAGATAACATTATGTATGATATCTTGCACCAAATTCACAGTAAAGAACAAAAAAAACTTTTTTTTTTATAAATCACACTAGCCTGGTGACCAAGACTATACATGTGTCTTGTAGCTCAACTCCATGGGATTGGCTTCTAGATATCTATTTTTTAATTTATTTCTAATTATAGGCGAGTCCAAATTAAGGGATGTAAAGTTTATTTTCTTCTACTCAACCAAAATTACTGTTTTTCATGAGTTTTGAATTTGGCTAGGGTCAGTGTCACTACTGGTACATGAGGCAATACCTGGACCCTACAGAGGTTGCACAGGCAGTCCAACTCCTCCAGGATGGCACATCAATATGTGCCATTGCCAGAAGGTTTGCTGTGTCTCTCAGCACAGTCTCAAGAGCATGGAGGAGATTCCAGGAGACAGGCAGAGAGCTGGAAAGGGCCGTAGAAGGTCATTAACCCATCAGCAGGACTGCTATCTGCTCCTTTGTGCAAGGAGGAACAGGATGAGCACTGCCAGAGCCCTACAAAATGACCTCCAGAAGGCCACTGGTGTGAATGCCTCTGACCAAACAAACAGAAACAGACTTCATGAGGGAGGCCTGAGGGCCTGATATTCTCTAGTGGGCCCTATGTTCACTGCCCAAGACCATAGAGCTCGATTGGCATTTGCCATTGAGCACCATAATTGGCAGGCCTGCCAATGGCGCCCTGTGCTTTTCACAGAGAAAAGAGATCAGGTTCACCCTGGGGACATGTGACAGATGTGAAAGGGTCTGGAGAAGCCATGGAGAATGTTATGCTGCCTGTAACATCATTCAGCATGACCGTTTTGGTGGTGGGTCAGTGATGGTCCGGGTAGGCATATCCATGGAGGGATGCAGAGATGCTACAGGCTAGACAATGGCGCCCTGACTGCCATTAGGTATTGGGATTAAATCCTTGGACCCATTGTCAGACCCTATGCTGGTGCAGTGGGTCCTGGATTCCTCCTGGTGTACAACAATGCCCGGCCTCATGTGGAGAGAGTATGCAGGCAGTTCCTGGAGGATGAAGGAATTGACACCATTGAATGGTCCCCACGCTTGTCTAACTTAAATCCAATAGAACAGCTCTGGGATATCATGTTTCGGTCCATCAGACGCCACCAGGTTGCACCTCAGACTGTCCAGCAGTTCAGTGATGCCCTGTACCAGATCTGGGAGGAAATATCCCAGGACACAATCCATTGTCTCATTAGGAGCATGCCCCATCGTTGTCAGGCATGCATACAAGCATGTGGGGGCCATACAAACTACTGAGTACCATTATGAGATGCTGCAATGAATTTCAGCAAAATGGACTAGCCTGCTGCGTCATTTTTTTCTCTTTGATTTTCGAGGTGTCTTTGAATTCAGTCCTCTATAGGTTGATACTTTTAATTTACATCAAACGATGGGGCATCCTTACATTCCTAACACATTACCCAGTCCATATCAGTACAGATATCCAGCATGATATTTTTCCCCATTGAGATCTGATGTGTTTTCAAAGTGTTCCTTTACTTTTTCTGAGCAGTGTACTTCTGCATCAAGACTCTGCATCCAATTGGAGTTTGCTGCTGCTTGCAGATGTGGTGAACTATTCAAATATCACTGACTAAATAATCCAGATGCTTGTGAGAAGAAATGAAAAATTCGATTCGACTGATTCGGCGAATTCGTGGACAATATTCGATTCGAGTCGAATAAATTCGCTGTGAATTTAACTTAAAAAAGGGTGTTTCTAGGCTTCAGAGAGACTTAATATTAGTGCAGAACACTGTACCTTTAATTTAAATGCCCTTGGAGTCTGCTGGGGAAGAGAAATAATACTGTCAGTCAGTATGACATGCAGATGAGTGCCGTCGATCTTAGAATCACCGCACACTTCACTCATTTGGGCAGTCACGGGGCCAAAACCAGAGTGTGGAGCCACAGTGTGGCGGTGGAGGCAGCAGCAATGGGAGGCCATACAGCACCCTATGACAAAAAATGGAAACCACCAGCAGTGTGAGGAGACCTGAAAGTGGCACATGGCAGAGTGTGGCGATAGAGACAGCAGCAATGGGAGGCCGTACAGGGACCCATGACACACTCTGGACCTGGCAGCAGCATGAGGAGGCGGTACAGGGCCCATGACAGATTACGGGCCTGGCAGCAGCATGAGGAGTCGGTACAGGGGCCCATGGCAGATTACGGGCCTGGCAGCAGCAATGGGAGGCCGTACAGGGACCCATGACACACTCTGGACCTGGCAGCAGCATGGGGAGGCGGTACAGGGGCCCATGACAGATTACGGGCCTGGCAGCAGCATGAGGAGTCGGTACGGGGGCCCATGACACACTCTGGACCTGGCAGCAGCATGAGGAGGCGGTACAGGGGCGCATGACAGATTACGAGCCTGGCAGCAGCAACTTGGACAGGAGGACGTTCAGCTTCTGCACCGTCGGGTGCGTGCTCGCAAACTGTTGTCTCTTGGAAACGGATTCCAAGAAAGACTGCTGACGGAATCCGTGAAGAGGAGTAGCAGGAGAAGGAGCATCTGAACGAGCGGAATATGCCAACAAGCGACAACAGTGGCCCATGACAGATTACGGGCCTGGCAGCAGCATGAGGAGTCGGTACGGGGCCCATGGCAGATTACGGGCCTGGCAGCAGCTATGGGAGGCCCGTAATCTGCCAGCACCCTATGACAAAAAATGGAACCCACCAGCAGTGTGAGGAGACCTGAAAGTGGCACATGGCAGAGTGTGGCGATGGAGACAGCAGCAATGGGAGGCCGTACAGGGACCCATGAGAGACTCTGGACCTGGCAGCAGCATGAGGAGGCGGTATATAGGGGCCCATGGCAGATTAGGGGCCTGGCAGCAGCTATGGGAGGCCCGTAATCTGCCAGCACCCTATGACAAAAAATGGAACACACCAGCAGTGTGAGGAGACCTGAAAGTGGCACATGGCAGAGTGTGGCGATGGAGGCAGCAGCAATGGGAGGCCGTACAGGGACCCATGAGAGACTCTGGACTTGGCAGCAGCATGAGGAGGCGGTATAGGGGGCCCATGGCAGATTAGGGGCCTGGCAGCAGCTATGGGAGGCCCGTAATCTGCCAGCACCCTATGACAAAAAATGGAACACACCAGCAGTGTGAGGAGACCTGAAAGTGGCACATGTTTGGGGCATGATTCATGGCGGATTTAGTCAGTTGTGTCAGGAACTGGTGGTTTGAAATCCAGACTAATCCACGCCTGATTCATTTTCACAAACGTCAGTCTCTCCACACTTTGGGTGGACAGTCGTGTCCTCCGCGGAGTTGCAATACCTCCTGCCGCACTAAACACGCGCGCTCCGATGCCACGCTACTGGCCGGGCATGACAGCCTTTCAAGGGCAAATTCAGCTAGTTGGGGCCAAAGGTCAAGTTTCGTTGCCCAGTAGTCAAGGGGATTGTCTACCTCGGTTGGCAGGGTGCTGTCCAAGTAGGCCTAAGCCTGTTGTTTGAGGTCCTGCTCCAGGTCCACCTGATGCTGCTGCTGCTGCTGCGGCTGGTTAGTAGTTTCCTCACTGCGCTGGTGAAGAAAGCTACTCATCATCGACTGCAGACTGAGGCAGCCGCTGCTGGTGGAGCTGCCACTGCTCCTACCACCCCACCCCTCCCCTGCTGCCATGGCAGCGGAACACGAGCGCACAGGGCCCACAGTGTCTGAGGATGGACGTTGGCGCAGACAGGCAGAGACCAGCTGACTACATAGGTGTTTTTTATAGTACGTTATTTTGGCCTCCCTCTCAGCAGGTGTGAAAAAGGCCACCATTTTTGAACGGTAGCGAGGGTCCAACAAGGTGGACAGCCAAAAGTCATCCCTCTGTCTGATGGTTATTATTCGGCTGTCGCTACGCAAGCAACCGAGCATGCTATGGGCCATTTGTGCCAAGGAATGCGAGGGACTCCCTGCCTCCATCTCCACAGCATACTGCCACGGTGCGTCTAGGTCCTCTGTCTCCTCTTCCTCCTCCTCTACCAGATGCTCCTGCTCCTCCACTCCTGTCCGCTGAGTGGAAAAACCACCCATTTCACTCAATAATTCCTGAGCACCAATGTCCTCCTCTACCTCCTCCTCTTCTTCTTCCAGTCCTGCCCCACAGGGGCCATGTGGCGTTGAGATCTGTGCGCCACGTCTACCGCACCCTGACCAGCCATTGTTAACAGCATTTGTTCCAGGACGTGCAACAGAGGAATGACGTCGTTCATCCCATAGTCCTGCCGACTCACGAATAGCGTGGCCTCCTCAAAGGGCCTGAGCAAGCGCAGGTGTCACGCATGAGCTGCCAATGGCTGACATCTAAGTTACACAGGGAGTACCTTTATCTGCTTTTAACATCAGGAAATCTGTGATGGCCTTTTGCTGTTCGTAAAGGCGGTCTAACATATGTAGGGTTGAATTCCACCTTGTTGCAACGTCACAGCATGAGGAGTCGGTATAGGGGCCCATGGCAGATTAGGGGCCTGGCAGCAGTTATGGGAGGCCCATAATCTGCCAGCACCCTATGACAAAAAATGGAACACACCAGCAGTGTGAGGAGACCTGAAAGTGGCACATGGCAGAGTGTGGCGATGGAGACAGCAGCAATGGGAGGCCGTACAGGGACCCATGAGAGACTCTGGACCTGGCAGCAGCATGAGGAGGCGTATATAGGGGCCTACGGCAGATTAGGGGCCTGGCAGCAGCTATAGGAGGCCCGTAATCTGCCAGCACCCTATGTCAAAAAATTCAACACACCAGCAGTGTGTGAGGAGACCTGAAAGTGGCACATGGCAGAGTGTGGCGATGGAGACAGCAGCAATGGGAGGCCGTACAGGGACCCATGACAGACTCTGGACTTGGCAGCAGCATGAGGAGGCGGTATATAGGGGCCCATGGCAGATTAGGGGCCTGGCAGCAGCTATAGGAGGCCCGTAATCTGCCAGCACCCTATGTCAAAAAATTCAACACACCAGCAGTGTGAGGAGACCTGAAAGTGGCACATGGCAGAGTGTGGCGATGGAGACAGCAGCAATGGGAGGCCGTACAGGGACCCATGACAGACTCTGAACTTGGCAGCAGCATGAGGAGGCGGTATATAGGGGCCCATGGCAGATTAGGGGCCTGGCAGCAGCTATAGGAGGCCCGTAATCTGCCAGCACCCTATGTCAAAAAATTTAACACACCAGCAGTGTGAAGAGACCTGAAAGTGGCACATGGCAGCAGAGTGTGGCGATGGAGACAGCAGCAATGGGAGGCCGTACAGGGACCCATGAGAGACTCTGGACTTGGCAGCAGCATGAGGAGGCGGTATATAGGGGCCCATGGCAGATTAGGGGCCTGGCAGCAGCTATGTGAGGCCCGTAATCTGCCTGCACCCTATGTCAAAAAATTAAACACACCAGCAGTGTGAAGAGACCTGAAAGTGGCACATGGCAGAGTGTGGCGATGGAGACAGCAGCAATGGGAGGCCGTACAGGGACCCATGACAGACTCTGGACTTGGCAGCAGCATGAGGAGGAGCGCGTATAGGGGCCCATGGCAGATTAGGGGCCTGGCAGCAGCTATGTGAGGCCCGTAATCTGCCAGCACCCTATGTCAAAAAATTTAACACACCAGCAGTGTGAAGAGACCTGAAAGTGGCACATGGCAGCAGAGTGTGGCGATGGAGACAGCAGCAATGGGAGGCCGTACAGGGACCATGACAGACTCTGGACTTGGCAGCAGCATGAGGAGGCGGTATATAGGGGCCCATGGCAGATTAGGGGCCTGGCAGCAGCTATGTGAGGCCCGTTAATCTGCCAGCACCCTATGTCAAAAAATTTAACACACCAGCATGTGAAGAGACCTGAAAGTGGCACATGGCAGCAGAGTGTGGCGATGGAGACAGCAGCAATGGGAGGCCGTACAGGGACCCATGAGAGACTCTGGACCTGGCAGCAGCAGAGAGGAGGTATATATAGGGGCCCATGGCAGATTAGGGGCCTGGCAGCAGCTATGTGAGGCCCGTAATCTGCCTGCACCCTATGTCAAAAAATTTAACACACCAGCAGTGTGAAGAGACCTGAAAGTGGCACATGGCAGCAGAGTGTGCGATGAGACAGCAGCAATGGGAGGCCGTACAGGACCCATGAGACTGGACTTGGCAGCACATGAGGAGGCGGTATATAGGGGCCCATGGCAGATTAGGGGCCTGGCAGCAGCTATTGAGGCCCGTAATCTGCCTGCACCCCTATGTCAAAAAATTTACACACCAGCAGTGTGAAGAGACCTGAAAGTGGCACATGGCACAGAGTGTGGCGATGGAGACAGCAGCAATGGGAGGCCGTACAGGGACCATGACAGACTCTGGACTTGGCAGCAGCATGAGGAGGCGGTATATAGGGGCCCATGGCAGATTAGGGGCCTGGCAGCAGCTATGTGAGGCCCGTTAATCTGCAGCACCCTATGTCAAAAAATTTAACACACCAGCAGTGTGAAGAGACCTGAAAGTGGCACATGGCAGCAGAGTGTGGTGAAAGTGGTCAATGGGCGCGATGGAGACAGCAGCAATGGGAGGCCGTAACAGGGACCCATGAAGACTCTGGACTTGGCAGCAGCATGAGGAGGCTGGTATATATAGGGGCCCATGGCAGATTAGGGGCCTGGCAGCAGCTATGTGAGGCCCGTAATCTGCCAGCACCCTATGTCAAAAAAATTTAACACACCAGCAGTGTGAAGAGACCTGAAAGTGGCAAACATGGCAGAGTGTGGCGATGGAGACAGCAGCAATGGGAGGCCGTACAGGGACCCATGAAGGAGACTCTGGACTTGGCAGCAGCATTGAGGAGGCGGTATAATAGGGGCCCATGGCAGATTAGGGGCCTGGCAGCAGC